AAGTCTATCATGGCCCTCCTTCTGTCAGTATATGTAGGTTTACGTCCTTCTAAAAAAAGCACATGGATGGACGTTTCAGGATTTAAGTCTTCAACTTGTTCATTGACATTTAGGTTGTTTTACATTTATTTGCTTTTCAGACAATATTATAATAAACACCTTCATCAATATCCTGTGTGAATATTTTTGTATAGACTTCTAGAATTGAAACTACTAGGTCAAGTCATTCATTTATTCTCTCTCTCTCAGAAAATTCTGCCAACCCTGAGAAATGCCAGTGTTACTGTTTTCACCGACACTGGATTTTATCAGTCTTTATTTGTTGCCAGTCTGAGAGTCAGTCAAAAGATGGGAACTCACTGTCGAATATGTAACTTCTGTAATTATGAAAGTACTATCCTTAGGAGAACATGTTCTTGTATTTAGGTTGATTTTCTAGCCCTTCCAATAATGAGGCTTTCCTTACATTCTCTGAAATTCCATTTCCTAGGCTCAGTAATGATGCTAATCCCTCCCTCCTGGGGTTGTTCTGAGTATTGTATCAAATAATAAAAAATGTCTGAAATAGCTTATTAATTCCATTAACTATATTAGTTCTCTATTGCCGCTATAACAAATTACCACATATGTAGTGGCTTAAAAACAACACAAATTTATCCTTAGAGTTTGGTAGGCAGAAATTCACCATGGGTTGGATCTCACTGGGCTAAACTCAGAGTGTCAGCAGGGCCACATTCCTTTCTAGAGGCTCTGAGGAGAATCCTTTTCCTTGCCTTATCCAGCTTCTGCAAGTTTTCCCATATTTCATGACTCAGGCCCACCTTCTCTGTCTCAAAGCGCCTCTCTGACCATTCCTCTGTAGTCGTATCTCCCTCTGACCACAACCAGGAAGGGGTTCTTTGATATTAAGGACCTATGTGATTAGATTGGACCTAGCCAGGTAGTCCAGGATAAATGCCCTCACCCCAAGGTGCTTAACTTAATCATATCTGCAAAATCCCATGTAAAATAATATCTTCATGGATTATAGGGATTAGAGCATGGACATCTTTTGGGGAGGGGGGCAATTTGCATTATTCTGCTTGCCACATTAACTATAAAGTATACTTCTCAGAAAAATAATTTATATTTAAACAGTAATGAGAGGGAATTAGCCTTAAATATTAAAAGCTATTATAAAGCATTGAAATTGTTGCTGACATATAAATAGATATGTGGAGTCTAACAATAGACCCAGCTACATTCAAAAATTGACTTATTTTTAAAGGTGTCATTTCAAAGTAATGAAGAAAAGGTGGGTTATTTAGTAAATGACATGGAATAACTAGCTAGCCGTCTAGAAAAAGTTGAAAGCATACCTCATATCTTACACCATATATAAATTCTGTTTGAACTAAAGATTCAGTTACTTTTTAAAAAAACAAAACCATCAAAGTATTAGAAATAAATGTGGAGTTAGCAAGTCCGAAACTACTTCCTGTGTAGAAGCCACTTTTTGTATACAAATAGCTAAACAGAGATGAGAGCCAGGTTTCTTACTCTCAGAGAAAGAAGATAAATAAGCAAAAGGACTAGAATGAATCTTGCAGTAGTTGATTGGAATTGATAGTGTTAGTTCTTAACATATATGCAGATGAATAGACACAGAAAGAAATATAGATATGTATGTATGCAGGAGTTAGTATACATGCATATATTTCCAAGCTCTGTCCACCGAGAAGGCCTAGCAATGACACCCTGGTAACAGTGAGCGCACCTCCTGGTGTGGGGAAAATATAAGATGAACCTGAAGCATCTTTTAGTGCCATAAAGTAAGGAAGTGCTCAGAAAGGATGGGCATATCAAAAGGGCACATGACTCAACCTAAAAGTTTCCAGTGACCAGAGCTGGAACAATTTGAGGAACAAAATAAATAACAATCAAATATAACTTGTAGAATAAAATAAATATCCATGAGTTCATCCTGACATAAATAATTGAATAAATAAAGATATAAACGAGGGAGAAGGGACAGTTCTAACAAATATAGAAGGAAATAGAGAAATGGAAGATCACTGTTGGGACACCACAGTGATCATTGTTGGAGGCAAGATCCACCAATTGATGCTAAAATTACTGGACAAAAGTTCTAGGAGTGCCCGGGCACTGTGGCTCACACCTGCAATCCCAGCACTTTGGGAGGTCAAGATGGGTGGATCACCTGAGGTCAGAAGTTAGAGACCAGCCTGGCCAACATGATGAAATCCTGTCTCTATTAAAAATGCAAAACTTAGCTGGGCATGGTGGCACGCACCTGTAATCCCAGCTACTCGGGAGGCTGAGGCAGGAGAATCGCTTGAACCTGAGAGGTGGAGGCTGCAGTGAGCCAAGATCACACCACTGCACTTGACTTGGGTGAAAGAGTGAGACTCTGTCTCCAAAAAAAAAAAAAAAAATATTCTAGGATTAACAGGATATTTGCATAGTCTTAAAATATCTCCTCCAAGATAGTTATTAATGGCAAATGTTAAAATAGTAATTTTATAGTAGATAAACTCAGCAGACACCAGCTTAAGCAAGTAAGCACATTTAAAATCACTAGTACACCAGGCGTGGTGGCTCATGCGTGTGATCCCAGCACTTTGAGAGGCCGAGGTGGGCCTATCATTTGCCCAGGAGTTCGAGACCAGCCTGGGAAACATGGCAGAAACCCATCTCTACAAAAAATTTTAAAAAATTAATTGAGCGTGGTGGCACACACCTGTAGTCCTAGCTACTTGTGGCTGAAATGGAAGGATTCCTTGAACTTGGAGATTCAAGGCTTCAGTGAGCCATGATAGCACCACTACACTCCAGCCTGGGCAATAGAGTGAGAACCTGTCTCAAAAATTAAATAAATAAAATTACCGGTAATAAGATGTCAATATGATGCACATCAGTTTTGTGAAATTCTTGCCAAAAATATGTAACCTCTTATAATCATAAGTATCAAACAAACCCAAATTGAGGAACAATCTAGAAAATAACTGATATTCCTCAAAAATGGTGTTGTCATGAAAAATAAGGAAAGACTAAGGAACTCTCACATTGGAAGAAACTACAGAGACAAAACAAATGTAATGTTGAATCTGGGGTTGGTGAAATGAAAGAAATAACAGAAAAATGATGTCAGTGGAAAAAATGGTAAAATCTGAGTAAAGTCCATAATTTAGTGAATAGCATCGTGCCAGTGTTAATTTCTTAGTACTGATAATTGTACTATGTGCAAGATGTTAACATTAGGGGAATTTAGGTCAAAGGTATACAAGAACTCTTCTATTTTTGCAGGTTTTTTTTTTTTAATCTAAAACTATTTCAAAACAAAAAATTTAAAAAAGGAAATTAACAGTAAAGGTATTAGAAGTACATGGAGAGAATTATAATCCCAGAGTAATAAAGGCCTTTCTAAGTATGACATATCTAGAAGAGGTTGATAAGAATAAAAATCTCTATATGTAAAAATAATTCCCAAAACAAAGACTCGTGTAAAACTGAAAAAAACATATGCAAAACATGGCAAACGAAAGGCTGGTTTCTTTAATGTGTAAAGCACCTATATAAATAAACATGTAAAGGACCAGCCAGTAAAAAAAATGGATAAACAATTTCACGTACAGTTCACAGTGGTAAAATGGTTCTTTTTATTTATTTTTGTTTTTGTGTGTGTTTCTTTTAGAGACAGGATCTTGCTCTGTCACCCAGGTTGGAGTGCAGTGATGTGACTATAGTTCACGCAGCCACAAAATCCTGGACTCAGGCAATCCTCTTGCCTCAGTTTCCTGAGTAGTAGGTGTGTGCCACTAAACCTGGCTAATTTTAAAAAATTTTTTGTAGAGATGAGGTCTTGCTCTGTTGTCCAGGCTGGTCTCAAACTCCTAGGCTTATGCAGTCCTCTTGCCTCAACCCCCCAAAATGTTGGGATTACATGCATGAGTCACTGTGCCCAGCCTAGAAGTGGTTCTTAAACATGAAAAGATGCTTAATCTTTCTCATAGAAAGAGTAATGCCAATTGCAACTACATTGAAGTACCATTTCTCACCTAGATTAAAGGTTTTTTTAAAAATGGTTGATAATATGCTGGCAAGAGTATGAAAAACAGACATCCCTTTAGGCGAGTCATAGGAATGTAAGTAGACACTTTTTGTGGGGGCTGACTTGGCACTGACTTTCGAAATTACGAAGGCACGTATTCTTGACTCAGCAGTTCCACTTTAGGAATTTCCAAGTCTGTATTCTCATGTGAAGAATGATACACACTGTATGGTACATACAGTGGCATTAAGCACAGCATTGCTTATAAAAGACTGAAAGCAAATGCCCTACAATAGAAATCATGTTAAAGAAATGAAGGTGGCTGGGCACAGTGGCCCACGCCTCTAATCCCAGCACTTTGGGAAGCTGAGGCGGGAAGATCGCTTGAGCCCAGGAGTTTGAGACCAGCCTGGGTAATATAGTGAGACCCTGTCTCTACCCACAAAAAAGATTAGCCAGGCATAGTGGCATACATACACGTGTAGGCCCACCTACTCAGGAGACTGAGGCAGGAGGACCACTTGGGCCTAGGAGTTTAAGGCTGCAGTGAGCCATGATTATGCCACTGCATTCCAGCCTGGGTGACAGAGCGAAGCCCTGTGTCAGGAACACAAAAGAAAAAGAAGAAATGAAGGTGTATCGGTACAAAGCTATCGTATCCATCTGTAAAATGTCGTAAGGAAGTTCTGCATATACTGATATAAACTATTTCCAAGAGACCATTAATCGAGAAATGCAAAGTACAGAACAATTTTTATAGTATACTACCATTTATGGTTTTTTAAGAAAAGATTTATGTTTGTAACAGTGATTACTTCTGGGGAGGTGAACTAGATGATAGGGGTACAAGGAAGAATTTTCACCAAATATACTTTTTGTGTCAAATTTTTATCGTGTGAATATGTTATTTATTCAAATAAATTTTAATACTAAGTTATTTTATTCACAGAACCTTATCTGCATTAGCTCACTGGTCTGTCATTTTTAGTGACACACCGTATCTTCCACTCTTGGCATTTCCATTCGTAAAATTATTCCAGAACAACCAACTCATCTGTTTTGAAGTTATTGCTACTCTTATAAGTAAGTAAATACTTATTAAAGTATGAGATCAAGAATGGATTCTTATACATTTTCCTGATGTCTTTGCACCTTTGCAACATTTAACAATTCTAGATGTCTCTACTTTTAAGTCACGAAAGTGTGAAACACTAAGGTATCAAACATAAAATAGACAAGTGAAGCATTTATATGTAAACCTTTTTATTTAGAAGAAAACTTGGATAGTTAAGTTTTAAAAGATATTACAGACTGGATTTAGTAAGAATGAAGCAGATCCTTCACTTACTGAAAGACAGTTACTCTTCATAGAACTGTTGTAATTGTAAAGCATTGCTACTCAGGAGGCTGAGGCAGGAGAATCACTTGGACCTGGGAGGCAGAGGCTGCAGTGAGCTGAGATTGCTCTACTGCACTCCAGCCTGGGCAAGACAGAGTGAGATCCCATCTCAAAAAATAATAATTATTATTATTATTATAATAATTTATTGTCTGCATAATCTGCATAATATAGTATTTCATCTTATAGATATATCATTTATGTATTCCACAACTGCAAGAATTTTATTTTTTCTAATTTTTCCATACTTTTAAAGCAGTTTCTTGTTGTTATACTACTTTTACTTCATGTTATATATATTTCCCTTATTTTTATAAATTTCATAAACAGTTTTATTGGCTATTATTACATAATGTGCATGTACTAGTTTAATCTTCTTGGATATTTAGATTGTTTTTAATTTTAACCTCTTTTTTTTTTTTTGCAACAGGAGTCTCACTCTGTCACCTAGGCTGGAGTGCAGTAGTGCTATCTCGGCTCACTGCAACCTCCACCTCCTGGGTTCATGTAATTCTCCTGCCTTAGCCTCCTGAGTAGCTGGGATTACAGGTACCTGTCACACACGCCCAGCTAATTTTTGTATTTTTTTAGTAGAGACAGAGTTTCACCACATTGGCCAAGCTGGTGTCGAACTCCTGACCCCAAGTGATCTGCCCACCTCGGCCTCCCAAAGTGCTGGGATTACAGACATGAGCCGCCCCCCGCACCTGGCATTTTATCTATTAAAAGTAACACTGTTATAACTATCTTCGCATACAAACATAATAGTTTCCTTTGGGTAGACTCCCAGAATTGGTGTTATCAGGTCATAAAATGTGAATAATTGATTCCCCAAAAGGGGTGTCATATGGTTTGGATGTGTGTCCTCTCCAAATGTCATGTTGAAATGTGAGCCCTGATGTTGGAGGTGGGGCCTAGTGGGAGGTATTGGATCCTAAGGGTGAATCATTCATAAATGGCTTAGCACCATTCTCTTGGTTGTAAGCGAGTTCTCGCTCAGTTAGTTCACACGAGATCCAGTTGTTTAAAAGAGTGTGGTACGACCTGCCCTGTGCTCTCCACTGGCACAGGTGCGAGTCTGATGGATACTGGGTGACTCTGCCTCACTGAGGAAAAAGAACGAAACATTAGCAAGGCAATTCCAAGAAGCTCAGAGGTAGAATGTCATCACCTGCGATCTTTGTGCAGATTTGCCAGGAGAAGCACAAGAAGCACCCAGATACTCCAGTCACCTCAGAGTTTTCCAAGAAGGGCTTCAGAGAAATGGAAGACCGTGTCTGCTAAAGAGAAGGGAAAAGTTGAAGACATGGCAAAGGCAGACAAGTTTCATCATGAAAGAAATCAAAACCTACATCCCTCCTAAAGGAGAAACAAAGAAGTTAAAGGATCCCAATGCATCTCACAAGAGGCCTCCTTTGGCCTTTTTCTTGTTCTGTTCTTAATATTGCCTTGAAATCAAAGGAGAACATCCAGCCTATCCATTGGTGATGCTGCAAAGAAACCGGGAGAGGCGTGGAGCTACACCACCGCAGATGACAAGCAGCCTTTTGACAAGAGGGCTGCAAAGCCAAAGGAAAAATGCAAAAAGGATATTGCTGCATACCAAGCTAAAGGAAAGCCTAATGCAGCAAAACTGGGAAACGTCAAGGCTGAAAAAAGCAAGAAAAAGGAGGATGAGGAAGATGAAGAAGATGATGAATAAATTGGTTCTAGCGCAGGTTTTTCTTCTTGTCTATAAAGCATTTAACACTCTTGTACACACTCACTTCTTTTAAAGAAAAACATTGAAATGTCAGGCTGTGTAACATTTGTTTAAACTGTACAGTGTCTTTTTTTATATAGTTAACACCCTATTAAATGTCTTTAGATAGCCTTGTCCTGGTGATATTTTCAATAAGATTAGCTTTGCTTGGTACACTATAGGGATTATAAATTGGCATAGAAATTTAAAAGCAAGTTTTTGTTAATCCACAGCACAAATTAGTTATTTTGTATGGGGATAGTAGTTTTTCATCTTCAATTTTCTCTAATGTAGCTTATACAAAATAAATGTTTTGTTAACTGAGTACCACTCTATAATTGAAAAAAAAAAAAAAGTTGCAACTGTTTTGTTGACATCCTGAATGCTTCTAAGTTTAAGCACAATTTAAAAAAATTTACTGACCGGGCGTGGTGGCTCACACCTGTAATCCCAGCACTTTGGGAGGCTGAGGTGGGTGGATCACGAGGCCAGGAGATTGAGATCATCCTGGCGGCCACTGTGAAACCGCGTCTCTACTAAAAATACAAAAAAAATTAGCTGGGCGTGGTGGCGGGCACCCGTAGTCCCAGCTACTCGGGAGGCTGAGGCAGGAGAATGGCATGAACCCAGGGGGGCAGAGCTTGCAGTGAGCGGAGATCGGGCCACTTCACTCCAGCCTGGGCAACAGAGCGAGACTCTGTCTCAAAAAGAAAAAAATAAAAATAAAAAAATTTACTGAACTTCAGCTAAATACTAGCACTGCTGGAATATGCCATTGTTTTGGCTTTTAGGTTTTTAGCCTAGTTGGGACTTAGAAAACATTTTGAAGGAAAAGTCAAATCTATGTATAATTTGGAATATATTTGTAAAAGTCTTTTTTAGATACTAGAGTCTCTTTTATGACAAGACATAAAGTCTTTTGGTTTAGCAAAGAATCTCCACACAATTATCATTTCTCTGTATTTTGCTATCTGTCAGTTCTCTCTCTAGGTCCTCTACCCATGTATTTGTGGTGCATCAAAGCAGAATAAAAATACTTAAGAGCAGGCAGATGGTTGCTGTATACAGTAGGATATCCTTTTACTAATGAAAATCAGTGCTTTCTTAATGAAGACTGTAAGGATCAGGGCTTTGGGTGCATGTGTGGTGTTTTAAATTCTCAGAACTGCCAGTGTCTGAGACATAACAGGTACTCAGTTGCTGAACCATATTTTCCTCTTAAAATTAAGAGCTGGGCTGGACACAGTGGTTCACACCTGTAATCCAAGCACTTGGGAAAGCCAAGGCAGGCAGATCACCTGAGGTCAGGGGTTTGAGACCAAACTGGCCAACATAGTGAAACCCTGTCTCTACTAAAAATACAAAAAAAAAAAAAATGAGCTGGGCATGGTGGTAGGTGCCTGTAATCCCAGCTATTTGGGAGGCTGAGACAGGAGAATCGCTTGAACCCAGGAGTCAGAGGTTGCAGTGAGCCAAGATCGCGCCACTGCACTCCAGCCTGGGCGACAGAGTGAGACTCCGTCTCAAAAAAAAAAAAAAAAAAAAAAAAATTAAGAGAGCTACAGAGAATTTGACATATTTTTTAAAGCTCAGTCTTTGCAAGGTTTTATTTATGACTTCATTATTAACCCAAATTTAAATGATCAATAATAAGTGAAATAATGGAACTCCAGAATTGGAAAGTTCTTATAAACCACTGTAATCTAGTATTCTGTTGATAAAGCCTTCTTTTGCTATTTTGAGATAGGAGATCTTAGTATCAAAGGATGAATCTACAACTCAATATTTAAAACTAAAAAAATTTAAAAATTAAGTAAAGGAGAGATTAAACATAGCCTTATTGAACAAAACAAACCAATGATCTTATATACGGTTTTGAGAACAATATGTGGGTCGTTCTACTGATTACAGAGCGCAAGTGAGTCAAAGTAAGCCTTAGAGTTAGTTGAATTTATTCTACTTTGGACTAGCTGACTTTCAAAGAATGCCACTGTTACTGATTTGTTGGTTTTTTTTTTTTTTTTTTTTGAGACAGTCTTGCACTGTTGCCCAGGCTGGAGTGCAGCGGCGCGATCTCGGCTCACTGCAAGCTCCGCCGCCTGGGTTCACGCCATTCTCCTGTCTCAGCCTCCCTAGCTGGGACTACAGGCACGAGCCACCATGCCTGATAATTTTTTGTACTTTTTAGTGGAGACGGGGTTTTGCCGTGTTAGCCAGGATGGTGTCTATCTCCTGACCTCGTGATCCACCTGCCTCGGCTTCCCAAAGTGCTGGGATTACAGGTGTGAGCCACCGCACCCAGCCAGATTGGTTGGTTTTCAAGTCAAGTTTACTGAAACAAATTGTCAATGATCAATTAGGTATAAAACCAGTCCTGGTGACTATTTACTGGTTATTCCTTGTTACCATGGTTATAGAACAATCAGTCTTTTCCTCAAAATGAGGACATTTTTATTGTCATTATAACGTTTAAGGGATTAAGGGATACAGTATATATAATTTTGGTTACATATGGTTGTAATTTTGGTTACATATGAATTTTAGTAAATTTGAGGAGCTTGGCATGCTAACGTTGATTACATTTAATGAAGGGTTAATCGGGGCCCTTTTTAAAAAGATCATTTTGTTAATTAGGTGATGAACAAAGCCGGAGTCAGAAGCCAGAATGCCATCAGGAGTATTTTGGGAAGTTGTGTTTGTTTGTTTTAATTAACACTTTTTCATTGACTACTGTAAAGAAATTTGCAAAATTTCTACAAACATACTATGTTAGCATGATAGAATTTTAAAATTGATGTCATATAATATAAAGAGTTATATTTTTTATTATTCATGGACATATTGGGAACATAAAGATTGGATACATTTAAGAATTGCAAGGATTTTTGATAACATAGAAAGATACTTAAAGATACGTTTCTTTTTTTTCCTTCATAGTCAATTGGTGTCAACACTGGTTTGAATATTTTCCTAATCCTCCTATCAATATTCTTAGTATGATAGAAAATGTTTTGGCATTTCATGACAAGGAACTGCTGCAACACTTCATAGATCATGATATAACTTCCCAGGTAAGAAGCATAAGGTTTTTAGAATAACATGCCTTATTTTGTAAGCTAACGTTGGTTCTGATATAGACAGTATTTTCTTGAAGGAGTATAATAAAAAGCATACTACATGTTGTGTTTTTAACAGTATTCCATTCTTTTTCTTCATTAAACTGCCTTCCTGAAAGTCTGTAAAGAAGGGTCCAAATTAAGGTAGTTATTTTCATAATTATGTATTTAATATGATTTTCATAGCTTAAATCGAATGTAAGGTAATATTACCAATGGCTCTGTTTTTACTTTTCCCTAGAAAAATGATAAATTTTTCCTTATCTGTTTTAGCTATATGCATGGCCTCTTCTTGAAACTGTGTTCTCAGAAGTGCTGACAAGAGAGGAGTGGCTGAAACTGTTTGATAATATCTTTTCCAACCATCCTTCCTTCCTTCTGATGACTGTTGTAGCCTACAACATATGTTCTAGAGTGCCTCTGCTCAACTGTAATCTTAAAGATGATTTTGAGGTAACGATCCTTGTTCTTAACAGAAGGTTCTCAAATATCAGTTATTTCTCTCTCTCTCTCTCTCTTTTTTTTTTTTTTTTTTTTTTCTTTTTTTTTTTTTGAGACGGAGTCTTGCTCTGTTGCCCAGGCTGGAGTGCAATGGTGGGATCTCAGCTTACTGCAACCTCTGCCTGCCGAGTTCAAGCGATTCTCCTGCCTAGCCTCCGAGTAGCTGGGATTATAGGTGCGCACCACCACGCCCAGCTAATTTTTGTATTTTTAGTAGAGATGGGGTTTCACCATGTTGGTCAGGCTGGTCTCAAACTCCTGACCTCGTGATCCACCCACCTCTGCCTCCCAAAGTGCTGGGATTACAGGCGTGAGCTACTGTGCCAGGCCATATCAGTTATTTCAATTGAAAGATCCATTTATTTACTGAGTCCCTGTTATATGTCAGACACTGGTGCTAGGTGGTAGGAATATAAAGGATAACAAGTTAGACCACATCCCTACCCGTGTACAGTTTATAGACAATAAAGCAGGCAATTATAGCAGGCTAGTAGTCTTATAATCATAGCTTAAGAAAAGAATCATGGTAATATTGGGGTTTGTGCTTTTTGCTTTTTTTTTTTTTTGAGACAGAGTCTCCCTCTGTCGACCAGGTCGACCAGGCTGGAGTGCAATGGCGCAATCCCGGCTCACTGCAACCTCCGCCCCCCAGGTTCAAGTGATTCTCCTGCCTCAACCTCTCGAGTAGCTGGGATTACAGGCGCCCGCCACCACACCCAGCTAAGTTTTTTATATTTTTAATAGAGACGGGGTTTCACCAGGTTACCCAGGCTAGTCTTGAACTCCTGACCTCAGGTGATCCACCCGCCTTGGCCTCCCAAAGTGCTGGGATTAGAGGCGTGATCCACTGCACCCGGCTGCCTTTTGCTTTTATAAAGGATGTTTAACAGGTAGAGTGTTGTTATTCTGTGCATAATCTTATCATGACCTATCTGGTCTTAGATAGTCTGAATGCTTATTACACATGCAAAAGGTAACTATGAGAATTTTGAGAATTGGCAGGAAAGTGTCTGAAAGAAAGCATTAAGATCATTATAAAAAGTAGATGCTCTTTTGGTAGACAAGATGAATTAGTTGGGTTCTTGTGTGTGTGTGTGTGTTACTTATTTAGTGTTAATGTCCAATTAAACTTTATTTTTATTTCATGATCCCATGACATGTTAATTTGGATCTTCCAGCAAAACAAGATAATGTGGAAACATTTCAGATATTTTTAAAGAATCAAGCTAATTTATTTTCAAAGGCTAATTTATAATTTATTTTGGATTTTGAAGAAAAAATAATCCAAGCAGAATTTGTTCCATTGCTGAAGCATTTTTTTTCTATTGTATTAAAAGTCTTCATTTTTTAATTTTATGTCAGAATTTCTTATGATTGTGAAACTCTGTTACATTTTTTAAATAAATTGTCTTCATTGTAAAACTTGAGTAAAGAAAAGCTTTAATGAATTTACCAAAAAAAATGTATATTCTTAAATATAGATTCACTTTTTAAAAAAATTCTTGTTTTAATGCTACCTACCTCATAATTGATTTGTCTGCAAATCTCGATTTAAACACCAAGTTTTCTTACAGTTTTTTTTCCACCATCGGAATAACCTGGATATAAATGTTGTGATTAGACAAGTTTATCATCTCATGGAGACCACGCCTACTGACATTCATCCAGACAGCATGCTTAATGTTTTTGTTGCACTGACAAAAGGGCAGTATCCAGTATTTAACCAATATCCAAAGTTTATTGTGGACTATCAGACACAAGAACGAGAAAGAATAAGGAATGATGAATTGGATTACTTAAGAGAGAGGTAATTATGGAATAGTTTTTCTTTTTCTGATACAACGAAATGTGTTTTAAACATAATAAGAAAGTTTTAATGAAAAAATACATTTGGCCGGGCGTGGTGGCTCACACTTATAGTCCCAGCACTTTGGGAGGCCAAGGCAGGCAGATCACAAGGTCAGGAGTTCGAGACCAGCCTGGCCAACATGGTGAAACTCCGTCTCTACTAAAAATACAAAATATTGCTGGGTGTAGTGGCGCACACCTGAAGTCCCAGCTACTCAGGAGGCTGAGGCAGGAGAATCGCTTGAAACCAGGAGGAAGAGGTTGCAGTGAGCGGAGATCACGCCATTGCACTCCAGCCTGGGCAACAGAGTGAGACTTCATCTCAATAAAAAAAAAGAAAAATACATTCATATTATGAGTATTTGTGTAAAATCAGGGTTTGAAGGCTAGAAATATTAAAGATAGTTAATTCTTGCATATGGAAATAAAATGGATTATACATTAATCGGTATACATTTTGTGTTTTGATGATTCTTGGATTTAAATTACTTAGCTTTCTTCTTTGTGTTTTCATAATAATATTACCTACTTAAGGCAGACAGTTGAAGATATGCAAGCTGAAGTTGACCAGCAAAGAGTTGAAGATGAAGCTTGGTACCAGAAACAAGAGCTGCTTCGTAAAGCTGAAGAAACAAGAAGAGAAATGCTCTTACAAGAGGAGGAGAAAATCATACAACAAAGACAGAGGTATGTGTTATCCCTTTTAAAAAAAAAAATCTGGACATATAAATTGGTTGAATAATTTTTATGCTCTTTCATTTTTTCATTTTAGGAACAACATTATATATAGGATTACCCAGCTGTGGCATTTCTATTAAGCAACTATTAAGTTAATAAAAAGAATCTTTATATTACCACTTTTCAAAAAATTGCTATGTAGTAAAATGTAATTCTAAAGCTATACTGAATATAAGCTAGATTTGCATGGATTAATGTTCCTGGAAGGACATTATTTAGAAACATTATTCTATAGTGGGCAGAAATGCTTTGTCCTAGAGTGCTGGGTACATCACCTGTAGTGGAGTATAATTTTTTTAATTGTGTTTTAAGCATACCTGTGTGACCTGACAATTGTAACATAAAATGATTATGTCATTACTCATTTAACACTTTGGAGGACAGGGGAATGAGTATTAAATGCATATTCAAAAGTGTATTAGCTGGGTGTGGTGCCACATACCTATAGTCCCAGCTACTAGGTAGGACTGCTTGAGCCCAGGAGGTCAAGGCCAGCCTGGGCAACATAGTGAGACCCTGTCTCTTAAAAAAGAAAAAGAAAAAACTAAAAATAAATACATAAAAGTATGTTAATAAGGTAAAATGTGTAAATTAAGTAAAGTTGTGGGATAAACATTGAGACTAAGCCCAATTGTTGGGAAACTCACTTCTGTGTTTATTGATTCATATTCTTAGACGGAACTTTATGTAATTCCGTCTAAGATTTAGAGTGTGGGTTAAAAGGAATTACTGAACTGAGCCGGTGAGCTTTCTGCTAAAATTCTCAAAGCATAAGTATACATCATCTTTGGTAACGGTGGAGCAGTTCTGGCATTCTTTCAGATAAAGGATAGCAATTGTATTGAAATGATGAGCATGGTAGACCTATTATGAAAAAACTAAGTCATATTAGGAATTGCTTTATTTGTCCCACTTGATGTATTTTGTATTTAAGGCTAGCTGCTGTGAAAAGAGAGCTGCAAGTAAAGGAAATGCACTTACAAGATGCTGCAAGAAGGCGTTTTCTGAAGCTTCAGCAAGATCAACAGGAAATGGAGCTAAGAAGACTGGATGATGAAATTGGGAGAAAGGTTTATTATTCTTACCTTAGTTCTCATATGTCATCTCCATTTACTCTCACTTAAATGTAATGAACGCCTTCAAATTAAATAATATTCTTAGAGTCCACCATGAATACTAAATAGCCCCTTTAATTTTATTTTCCCCTCGGCTTTTCTCATTTTCTTTTGTATTTCATGAATGGCTAAATATTTAAGAAATGCCAGGAAAATTAGTCAAGTGTCCTTAGTGACTGTTTCTCTAAAAATAGAAATATCAGTATCAGTTAGCCATTAAGTTAATTTTTTTTTTTTGAGACAGAGTCTCACTCTGTTGCTCAGGCTGGAGTGCAGTGGTGTGATCTCAGCTCAGTGCAACCTCCACCTCCCGGGTTCAAGCGATTCTCCTGCCTCAGCCTCCCAAGTAGCTGGGACTACAGGTACACACCACCACACCCAGCTGATTTTTGTATTTTTCATGAGATGGGATTTCACCATTTTGGTTAGGCTGATCTCGAACTCATGACCTCAGGTGATCTGCCCACATCGGCCTCCCAAAGTGCTGGGGTTACAGGCCTGAGCCACCATGCCTGGCAGTTAATTTTTAATTAGGGGACATATTCTTTTTTCATGTAAAAATTATCTGTGGCCAGTATAAAAATAATTTCCAGTACAAAATATATAGAATTAAAAATGGACCTTCTCCGTCAGTCCTCATATCATCCCCAGAGAAACACTTTTAAAAAATGGTTAATTGGCCGGGTGCGGTGGCTCATGCCTGTAATCCTAGCACTTTGGGAGGCCGAGGCGGGCAGTTCACCTGAGGTCAGGAGTCCGGGACCAGCCTGGCCAACATGGTAAAATCCCATCTCTACTAAAAATTCAAAAATTAGCTGGGCTTGGTGGCAGGTGCTTGTAATCCCAGCTACTCAAGAGGTTGAGACCAGAGAATTGCTTGACCCCGGAGGCACATGCTGCAGTGAGCTGAGATCCGAGATCACGCCACTGCACTCCAGCCTGAGTGACAGAGCGAGACTCAGTCTCAGAAAAAAAAAAAAGGTTAATTATATAGCCTTTCAGGTATGTTCTATAGATAGAGGAGTAATTATAGTCATGCTTTCCTGTATTTATACAAAAATGGGATTATTCTCATTATACATTGTTTTTGTGACCTGCTTTTTAAAATTACATATGTTGAATATCTTTTCATATGTTATGTGTATCTATTTCTTTTTTGTGGTTGTATAATATTCCATTGAATGAATAGCTTATTTAATGCTTTGTTGTTGGACAAATAACAACCATGCTACATCATAAAAGTCTTTTTACTTGCACACATACTTTTGTTGAGTAACTTCTAAATTATGCCAAATTGTTCTCTAAAAATGAAATGGCTTAAGCTATTTTAAGACCGTAAGAGTACCCATCCCCTAGTATAGTCAATTGTACTGCATCAGTCTTAATATTTGCCAAGCAGATAGATGACAAATAGTCTATTTTAATTTGCCTTTTTTTATTGTTAGTGAGGTTAAGTATCTTTTCTGTTACTTATCTTCCATTTGTAGAATTACACATTACATATTTGTATCATTTGTCCATCTTTCTGTGAAGTTAGACTTAACTTTCTGTCAGGTTAGCTTACTTATTTCTAAAAGGCAAGTCAATTGTCCCAACACCGTTTGCTGACTATTAGCCAAGTCATTTGCCAAACGATGGTTTTTACATATTAAATTCTGTTACATACTTGATCTCTTTCCTTGCTTTTTCTATTCCTAAGCCAGTACCACACTGTTTGAATGACAGTAGCTTTGAAGTATTTTACTAACTAGTCCTAATTCTCACTCATTAGTCTTCCTTTTCAGAGTTTTTGTCAGTATTCTCCAATGTTTGTCATTCCAAATAGACTTTAAGAATTGTTTCACTTTTGGAATTCTCACCTGTCCCAATCCCATTGGAATTTTTATTAGGATTGCACTGAATTTATGCACTAATTTAGAGTTTCAAGCCTAGTTTTGATAAAATACTAAGTATTTTTTAAGTCTTTTTTTTTTTTTTTTTGAGACAGGGTCTCATTCTGTCACGTGGGCTGGTGTACAGTGGTGCAATCCCAGCTCACTGCAACCTCCACCTCCCGGGTTCAAGCAATTCTCATGCCTCAGCCTCCTGAGAAGATGGGATTACAGGTGCCTGCCACAACACCCAGCTAATTTTTGTATTTTTAGTAGATACAGGGTTTCACCATGTTGGTCAGGCTGATCTTGAGCTCCAGACTCCAAGTGATCTGCCCACCTCAGCCTCCCAAAGTGCTAGGATTACAGGCACCTGGCCTAAGTCTTTCAAAGTATTTTTAATTCATATGTATTAGAAATCTATTATCTTTTTATAGCATCATACTTCTTGTTTTGTTTAAGCCTTGTTAATTTTAAATTGGTTTTCAAAATCCAAGATTTCTTTTAATTTTCTCGTCTAGTGAATGAGATTGATATTTCATTACTATAGAAAAGTGTATGTTCTTCCCACAAAGTAAGCTCAGAACTCTGATGTCTTTATTCCAAACTCCTTTGAAACAGGAGGCGGCACTTTTTGGTCCAAGAATTCTATAAACTCCTTTCAGCAACATGATCTGGCCTCTGCCTACCCTTCCAGCCTCCTGTCCTCCCAGCTGCCTGTTCTGATGTTGTGCTCTGACCCTGCCAAACCGCAAAAGTTCGTCTCGTGGTTCAGGCTCTAGCAGGAAAGGCTGCTTGAATCTGAAATGACAAGTACATGTGACTGTGAACATCTGTTAGCAGCAAGCAAAGCCGATCGGTTTTTGCTGTGGTACATAGCTGTTTGTATCTCTGAAAATTCATAAGCAAAAGAGCTCAGTAATTGAAATTCCTAAAAAGCGTGATTTGCTATGCCACACCTCTCCTCCACTTCCTGTCATTATTGCTGTTCTTACTTCATACAATCAAGCTTCCCCCCACCTTTGAGCTAGCTCCTTTCCTAATAACCTCTTTAAATTGAGCTGGTCCTGGTCCATGTTTCTCTTTTAGCCTTTGGATATATACATTTGCACATCCAACTATGTTCTCATTTACTGTTTCTCCTATTTTAAGTATTTGATAGCATGTCTTTTACCATAATGACAATATCTAACATTTTACCTTATATCTAAGATCATTTCTAAGAGTCTCTAGAGAGTGCCATATTCCGTATGCAAACCCTCTAGTATATAGGAATAAAAAACTTCCAACTGATCAAATTTTGGAAATAGGCAAACTCTAAATTAATTCACTTGGAGCAGAACACACACAGGTCGAACCATCTGCAAGAAATTTAAACCTAGAATTGGTAATTGTCAAACCGAACTTATAAAAGTAGAGAAGTTTAGTCAAAAAGAACATTAAATAAATGTTATATTTTTATCTACCCCAGATTTAAATTGCTCAAGTTTTTCTAACTCATGATATTGGTTACTGTAATACTGTAAGAACTGCTATCTATTCTTCCAGTCTGAGTAGATGGGCATATGGTATTGTGCTTTTTATTCTTAAATTAAACTTCACTTTAACTGAGAGATTATTCCTAGATTCTGCAGTGAGTATTAATCTTTGTCAGTTACTCTGGTTTCAAAAACCCGATTGCTGTTATTTTAAATACTGTTAGTAGGTCGTTCAGATTACAGGATTACTAAATCTATTAAAAATTATTTTGTAAATTCTTTTTGGTATTCACAGTTTGTTGTTTGGCCATAGGTATATATGAGAGATCGAGAAATTGCTGCCACAGCCAGAGACCTAGAAATGAGACAGCTGGAACTCGAATCACAAAAGAGACTTTATCAGAAGGTATAATTCAGTTATTTCCAACATAAGAAAAGCAGGTTTTGGCCAAGCTCAGTGGCTCAAACCTGTAATACCAGCATTTTGGGAGGCTGAGGTGGGAGGAGGATCACTTGAGCTAAGGAATTCCAGACCAGACATGGGCAATATAGTGAGACCCCATCTCTACCAAAAATTTAAAAATTTAGCTGGGTATGCTTACCTGTAGTCCCAACTACTCAGGAGGCAAAGGCAGGAAGATCACTTGAGCCCTGGAGTTCAAGGCTGCAGTGAACTGTAATCACACCACTGTACTCCAGCCTGGGCAAACAGAGCGAGACCCTATCTCAAAAAAAATAAAAAGAAAGAAAGAAAAAGAAAAGCAGGGTTTGTATAAACCCATTTTAGACTGTATTTATTCATGGTTTTCTAGCATTCGTTTTATTCACTTTTTAAGCAGAATATAGTGCCATGCAGGATTGTAAGGTAGCCAAAATGTCTGAATGTACAGTTTGTTGTAATTATTTAATTCATGTTTCTGTTAGCAGCTTAGTCTAGTGTCTGAAGCACCAGATGTAGGCCCCAGATTTTGCCTCAGGATTTTTTACCAACTTACTAAATTTTCCTGTAATTATGTAATAGTGCCTACAAAATTATCTCAATACCTCACAAGGATCCTGAAAGGTAAATCAGTCGGGAGCTGTAAAGTACTTTCTTTCTTTATTTTTATTTTTATTTATTTCTTTTTGAGACAGTCTTACTCAGTTGCCTAGGCTACAGTGCAGTGGCATCATCTCAGCTCACTACAACCTCCCCTGCTCCAGTGATTCTCCCACGTCAGCCTCCCCAGTAGCTAGGACTACAGACATGTGCCACCATGCCTATCTAATTTTTGTGTTTTTGGTAGAGATAGGGTTTCACCTTGTTGCCCAGGCTGGTCCCAAACTCCTGGGCTCAAGCAATCTGCACACCTTGGCCTCCCGAAGTGCTAGGATTACAGGCATGAGCCACCACGCCTGGCCTGTAAATTACTTTAAATTGGAATCTTCTGGAGTTAAATCAGCAAATATCTGCTTAGTACTTACTGTTCAGTTTTCAAGACACTGGAAAAAAGGAGCTTTGTTAACATAAATTTTTATTACTTACGAAAAATGTTTTGTTACTCATTTAGTGTTGAAACTGTAAGTTTTCACTTCTTTCAGCCCACATAAAAAGTCAGACTTTTTAGCCTGGGCAATACAGCAAGACCCCATCTCTACTAGAAATACAAAGAAATAGCCAAATGTGGTGGTGTGCACCTGTGGTGCCAGCTATTCAGGAGGCCGAGGTGGGAGGATCACTTGAACCTGGGGGACGGAGGCTGCAGTGAGCCAAGATTGTACACTCCAACCTGGGTGACAGAGTGAAACCCTGTCTCAAAAAAAAAGTCATACTTTTAGTTTGAAATTAGTGATAACTGTGAATTCATAATATGTAACGTATATGTTTGATAGCCATATTAGGTGAGATTTAAACCATATAGCATCCATTTACACCTATAACACTTTTAAAGTCTCCACACTGAATTTCTTCTAGAACTGAGCAAGGGATTTATAGTTTGACTGAGTCTCCCATGATTTGGAATTAGATGTAATTCACGTGGATTAAGCTAAACTTTACTTTTTACTGTCTTTTCTTTAGAGGTGGAGGATAGTGGCAATTGAAGGGTGTAATTTTAGAACTAACAGAGAATTTGCAAGAAAAATACAAATAATTTCCAGATATTTGTCTCTCAGATTTTTAAACACTAACATTCTACTAAATTTGCTTTCTCTTCCTCTTTTTCTTTACCTATACACATATGTACACACAAATATATACTTGTTTTTCTGAACTGTTACAGTCCCAATGCTCCTTTACCCCTAAATACTTCAGTGTATATTTCCTAAGACCAAGGAGTCCTCTTATATAACCACAGTACGGTTCTCAAAATCAGAAATTAACATAAGATGATCTGATATATAAACCTTATTCAGATTTGATCCATTGTATCCAAAATGTCCTTTAGAGCAAAAGAAAATCTGAGATCTCATCCATTGTTTTGTTATCATTATTTTATTCTCCTTTAAAATGAGATATGTTCCTGACTCTTTGTATTTATGACATTGATATTTTTTGAAACATGTAAGCCAGATAATTTGTAGAATGTCCCTTAATTAGCGTTTGGCTGTTGTTTCTTCATGAGAAGATTTAAGTTATCCATAGGAGTGCATAACTTTAATCTGTGGCAGTCTTACAACAGAAGTTATGTTTTGAGATGGAGTCTTGCTCTGTTGCCCAGGCTGGAGTGCAGTGGCATGCATGATCTCAACTCACTGCAACTTCTGCCTCCCAGGCTCCAGCAATCCTCCTGCCTCAGCCTCCCAAGTAGCTGGGACTACAGGTGCGTACCATCACGCCCTGCTAATTTTTGTAGTTTTTATAGAGACAGGGTTTTGCTATGTTGCCCATGCTGGTTTCAAACTCCTGGGCTCAAGCAGTCCTCCCACCTTGGCCTCCCAAAGTGGTGGGATTATACGCATAAGCCACTATGCCTGTCCCATATTTCTTGGTTTTTTTCCAATCAATCATGTGATTGTTTGTTGAAAACTAGACATTTTGAATACAGTGCTCCCCAACTTATGATGGGGTTATGTCCTAATAAGCTCATCATAAGTTAGAAATATTGTAAGTTGAAAATTCATGTAACACCCTGATAGACCCATCATAAAATAAGAAAATTATTACGTCAACTATAGGACCGTCTGGCATATAATGTGGCAATTTTGGAAATAAGATTGTCTCCCCTCCCCAGGATTTCTTCTTGTTTCTTTGCTTAGTGACTTTTCTGAACTAATTTTGAAAGTCCATATCTTTTGTTGTATATAGCTACTGATGTCTCTACTCAGGTAGTTTGGGGGTCAGCAAATGATTGGACAGAGATTTTAATAGATTCTTTGAACAGTAAGCTTCTAGTAGTTGTTGAGGAGCTCTGTGTGCATGTTAGGGCATGCCTTTATCACTCAGCTAGGCAGTTTCTACTTCTTAGATTCCACTTCCTGGTTATGCAAAACCTCAGAGTTAACCAGAAGTGTGAGATCTGAGGTCTTTCTCAGGACTGAGAACACAGTCCTTAGCATATGCACAGCTTTACACATGCACATGACCTTCCAGGAATCTATCTGAGATTTTTTAAGCCTCCTGTGGACATCTGATTCTCCAGTTTTTCCTGTTAAGCTTTTTACTTAGCCTATTGGTTGCTCTCCCAAGATCCACTGCCCCAAGCAGCCAAGATATTCAACAGTTTGCTCTAATTGTTTTCAACAACTTCCCCAGGGATAAGACTATTTCTGCACTAGGCAAGCTCTGAGTGAGATTTTAAAAAGATAGCCTTAGGAGTGGTCTTTCAGGGAACCACCAGAAAACTCAAACAATGACAGTTCTCCAGCAATGGTGGTTTGAAGGAGCTCTGTCCAACCCCATTTTGCTTGGCTTCCAGGCTGCTGGTTGTCAAGACTAATGCATAGGCCGGACACCGTGGCTTACACCTGTAATCCCAGCATTTTGGGAGGCCAAGGCAGGCTGATCACTTGAGGTCAGGAGTTCGAGACCAGCCTGGCCAACATGGTGAAACCCCATCTCTACTAAAAATACAAAAAAGTTAACCAGGCCTGGTGGTGGGCACCTGTAATCCCAGCTACTCAGGAGGCTGAGGAAGGAGAATCACTTGAAAACCCGGGAGGGGGAAGTTGCAGTGAACTGAGATCGTGCCACTACACTCCAGCCTGGGCAACAGAGTGAGACTCTGTCTCAAAACAAAACAAAAAAAAAGACTAATGCATAGCTTGGGAGTGGGGTGGGAACAGGAAAAATGCAAGATGAAATGTCAGAGAGCTAGCTGTTTTTACTGAGATTCAGCCATTTTTATAAGTAAATGCTCCCCAGGTAGCTCCAAGCCTTTGGTTAATTTCCAGAATGCTGAAAAAGTTCATTTTGACTTTTTTTTTAATCCATGTTCTCAATGCTTTTATGGATGAGAGGATTTCCAGGGGTCTTTACTCTGCCATTTTTGCTGATATCTCCAGTCTTCGCATTTTACTTTGAAAATTAGATGATTGCAGCTTTTATTTGTGTGCATATTACTATTCTGAAAAAAGTTGTTTTTGTATTCTAGCATTATATAAATCAGTGATTTTTTTTTTTTTTACAAATGATTTTAACAGAATCTTACTGAAAATCAAGCAGCTGTTGCAAAAGAAATGCGAGCAGATGCAGATGCCTATAGACGAAAAGTGGATCTTGAAGAACACATGTTTCATAAGCTGATAGAAGCAGGTGAAACACAGAGTCAGAAAACTCAGAAGGTAAAAATATGATCCATTTAGTGTATATGCAGAAGAGAAATTTTCATCTGTCACCCACTTAAGAGAACAAAATCGAAATTAAACTCTGTAAAGTTGAATTAGTTTGTTTCTTTGCTTCAGTTGTCACAGTTCCTAGAATCTCACATTGCTTCCTTTTATATATAGGATGCTTACTTCACTGACAATCATATGCATGTCTTTTTCCTACAGTTTGAGGAAATACAAAGGAATTTCCTCAAAGAAAATACAAAGGAATAGTGACTTACAAGAAAATACGAAGGAGTAGTGACTTAGAAGAAAATACAAAGGAATAGTGACTTTACAAATTATACTGTCCTGGCCAGGTGCGGTGGCTCAAGCCTGTAATCCCAGCACTTCGGGAGGCCGAGACGGGTGGATCACGAGCTCAGGAGATCGAGACCATCCTGGCTAATATGGTGAAACCCCGTCTCTACTAAAAAATACAAAAAAATAGCCGGGCAAGGTGGCGGGCGCCTGTAGTCCCAGCTACTCGGGAGGCTGAGGCAGGAGAATGGCGTGAACCCGGGAGGCGGAGCTTGCAGTGAGCTGAGATCCGGCCACTGCACTCCAGCCTGGGCGACAGAGCGAGACTCCGTCTCAAAAAAAAAAAACAAAAATTATACTGTCCTTCTATGTTCTGCCTCTGAAAACTGTCCCTGAGTTGATTAGGTTCAAAGCATCAGGTCCCTGCCTGGTATGTAAGCCAGCACTTCCAAGTGTATTGTGTGGACTATTAACTATTATTCAATAAAATGGGGGATGGTCAAGTAAGTATTGGAAATGCTGTCTTAAAGTGAGGTATTTTTCATGCCAAATTTGAGGATACTGTACATTTGTGAATATTTAAGAAAATTTCCCAGATGTATTTCAGAGAATTTCTTATGGAGTACGCTTTCAGAAATGCTGACTTAAGTGAATTGAAATAGAACTTGAGACTTTCAAAGAAGAGCTTTCTCTATTACCTCCTTAACACAATGTGAAATGGGTATGTGTACCGGTCTGCTCCTGTTCCGAAAACCAGGAATAGTGTACACTAGATACCTTCTGTTCTACAACAGTCTCTTAGGTGATTTTCTCAAGATATTCCTTTTTTTTAAATAGGCTTTTGTCCAGTCTGTTAAAATGGGCTCTTCTTCAGAGTGCTGAAAACATGGAAATTGTTGAATCCCACCCATCCCCTAGCTGATAAGTTCTTAACCTTGGCTGTAAATGAGAATCACTTGAAGAGCTTTTTTTTTTTTTTTTTTTTAATGTAGAGACTGAGTCCTATTCTGTCACCCAGGCTGGAATGCAGTGGCATGATCTCAGCTCACTGCAACCTCCGCCTCCTGGGTTCAAGCAATTCTCCTGCCTCAGCCTCCCTAGTAGCTGTGACTACAGGCACCCGTCACCACACCCAGCTAATTTCTACTTGAAGAGTTTTTTAAAGGTGCCAGTACCCAGCTGTCCGGTGATTGGTTTAATTGGCTTGTGGTGAGGCCCAGACATCAGCTTATTTTAAACACTCCCAGGTGATGCCCATATGCAGCCAGCGTTGTGAACAACCGCCCTAGACACGTGGATACATTGAATGGTTATACCTTCATTTTATATGTTAGCAGTCTGACCTTGTTTCTGAAATGTATAACTTTTTCCTAGGTGATTAAAGAAAATTTGGCAAAGGCTGAACAAGCATGCCTAAATACTGACTGGCAGATTCAGTCTTTACATAAACAAAAATGTGATGATCTACAACGAAACAAATGTTACCAGGAAGTAGCCAAACTCCTTAGGGAAAACAGAAGGAAAGAAATAGAGATATTAAATGCAATGGTGGAGCAGGAAGCCAAGAAGGTAAAAATAGTGTTATCAGCTTTTTGTTATATCAAGCATTGGGTTTTTTTGTTTTTTCTTTTTTTAAAGAGACAGAGTCTCACTTGGTTGAACAGCCTCAAAATTCGAACTCCGGGCCTTAAGCGATCCCCCTGCATCAGCCTCCCAAAGTGCTGGGATTACAGACATCAGCCCCTTTACCCAGCCTAAGCACTGAAATTTTGAAGTAGTACAGAGTCAAATGACAAAAGCATCAAACCACGTCGTTTTTGCTGGAAAAGATAATCTGATTTTAATAGGTGTTTGTCAGAGAAGTCATCTAATACTGATTCTACCAAAAAATGATTAAGCGTCTTTCTCATTTACATTAGTGTGCTTCAATTTCTCAACTTCCTGGATTTTTATTCTGGCTGCTTGAATAATATTAGTACTTTAATTTAGCTCATTCTTTATACTTGCCATGTAAAAGATGCTGAATAGGTAGAAATGGTATGTAGCTGCTAGTAACAAAACCCCACACTACAGTGACTAGGAACAGGATAGATATATAGTCTGGAGGTAGGGAGTCCAGGGTTAGTACTGGGGCTCCACCGTTATCAGGGAAATGTCCTCTTTCAGCCTTTCTGCACCTCTTCTTAGTGTATGGCTTTCATTTTCAAGGTTACCTGACCATCCAAGATGACTCCTGGAGTTCCAGCCATCACATACCCACTGCAGACAGCAGGGAGAAGGGAGAGCACAAGTGCGAATGTTCTGCCTCCCACCTGAGTCACACTCCCTTCTAACTTCTTTCCAGCAGTCCCACATCATATTTCGAGCCACATTTGTCAGCAAAGGATGCTGAGAAAAATAACACTCTTCACAGGGAGCATTATCATCCCAAATAAAATTAAGATTCTTTTCCTATCAGTTAATAGGATAGCTAAAAATAAAAACAAAAGATTCTATTCCTAAAGAAGAATCAAAGAATGGAGTCCGAGGAGGTCATTAATAGTATATGTCACACGTGTGTATCTTTTGGTTGATCCTTCCAAAGACTCTGGGATCTGTGCTCTGGAGATATTTTTGCAGGTACCATGGACTTTTGTAAGGACATTGAGAAGCTGGGGAAAGATCAAGATCTAGATACCTGGCTTAATTGCTTCTCTCTGTTGCTGTATCACAGTGTCTATTCTGAAAGCTGGCTTCTTACAGTGTATTTCCTTCAAGTCACTATTCCAGATTCATTTTCCTCCTACCCCATCCCAGTGGCATGGAGCCTTATCTTATAACCCTTTCATTCTAGGACAGGAAGAAGGGCTTGGAGAGGGTGGGAGTAATACCCAGAACCCTGAGGCTGTTCTCAGGAAAACTGGGGTGGAAACTCACATTCTCAACATAAACATTGCTGACATTAGGGCTAGACTGTGTGAAATTCACTGCTGCTGGACTTTGGGTAAAATGGTATTTTTGAGAGTTGACTGAGAATCATTGTAAGGGCCTTTCACGTTCTGCAGAAATCCTTCCTTATGTCTATCTAGTGTCCTGTGTTATAAAGCTGATTTGACCACTGCGTGGCCTTGAGAAGCTGCTCAGAATCAGCCCCCTCATCAGTAGCATGAAAGGGATGGATATCTGTGATCCTTCCTTGCCCTCCTATTTTGTGATTTTTTTTTAAGTTTTTGTTATTTAATGCATTATTTCTATAACATAAAAATAATGTGTTTCCATGTAAAAGCTGTAGCTTTTCCAGAATTTTGGCAAACTTTAGGAGTTGGATTTTAAATATATTTTAGTTACCTTCTGAGCTAATTTTAAGATTATTATTTTCCCATTTTATGGAGAAGAAAATAGGGGTGAATAGAGATCACTTGACTTCCCTGTGGTCATCATGTGGACGAGAGCTGGGCAAAGAGTTCATTCTCTGAATTTTGTAGATTTTATTATTAAGATGTAGCATTCAAATTAAATAAAATGCAATTGCCACGAATGCAAACCTAGCTTAGTCTTGTAAGATTTGAGATTTGAAACTTACTGAAATGCATTATTATTTCAGCAACTATTTGGGATATAGTTGTGTGCTTTGTGGCACTCTGTAGTACTGCGGGTTGGATAAAACCTGCCTCTGCTTTCAAGGCTCCTAATAGCCTTGGGCCAACACAGGCACCCCAATTACCGTAACACCAAACAGATCCTACTTGCCATGGGAATATAAAGGAAAGTGGATAGAGAAGACAGAAGGGGCTCATTCTACTGTGAGATGTGTATTACTATACTTTTTATGTAATTTTTTTTCCATTTATTTGAATTTAGTGGAAGGAAGCTGAAGGAAAAGAGTTCTGTTTGAGATCAGCAAAGAAAGCGTCTGCTCTTTCAGATGCATCTAGAAAGTGGTTTTTAAAGCAAGAGATAAATGCGGCTGTAGAACATGCTGAAAATCCATGTCATAAAGGTGAGTGTCTGAGAGGCCTTTCTCTCCATGATGTTACAGATTTATTCTTTTAGTAGGGTCTATTATTACGATTTTTTTTGGTTTTTTTTTTTTTTTTTTTGAGACAGGGTCTTGTTCTGTCACCCAGGCTGGAGTGTAGTGAATGCAATCATGGCTCAGTGCAGCCTCAACTTCCTGAGCTCAAGCAGTTCTCCCATCTCAGCCTCCCCAGTAGCTGGGACCACAGGCATGCATCCCCACACCCAGCTAATCTGTTAAATTATTTGTAGAGATAAGATCTCACTATGTTGCCCAAGTTGGTCTCAACCTGCTGGGTTTAAACCATCCTCCCACCTTGGCCTCCCAAAGTGCTGGGATTATAGGCGTGAGCCACTGTGCCTGGCCAATGAATAAATTATTGGGATGTATTTTGGCACTTCTATTCAATCTACTGCTCAAGTAAAAGGTGATCACTGGTTACTATATTTTTGGTGGGAAAGGGTGGGCTGAGGAGGGACTATTAGACAAAAACAGAGTCCCAATGGAGGAAAAAGTTTGTGCAGACTGTCCTATGGAGTTCTGTTTGATTCTGTTGTTCCAAGGTGAAATATGTGCTTTGCCAAAAGCTGGTCCTCAGAACAACAGTATATTCAAGTACCACAGGGAAACTTCTCATAGGATCTGATCCAACATTAGGTTTCAGTACAAGGCTTATAGTGGCATCAACTGAAAAATCAAAATTATAATTTAAAACTCTAAAATACTCTGGAGGCTGAGGCAGGAGGATCTCTTTGAGCCCAGGAGTTTGAGGCTGCAGTGAGCTATTATCATGCCACTGAACTCTAGCCTGGGCAACAGACAAGACCCTGTCTCTTTAAAAAAAAAAAAAAAAAAATGTTTTCCATAAAATTCTAGAGTACAGTTAACAAGGCACTTTTATTTTACTATGTTGCCTTTTATAATGTGAATATGTTGCTTTTTAAAATAATAGCTTTGTTGATACATAATTCACATGCCCTATAATTCACCTTTTTATTTATTTATTTATTTATTTATTTTTTGAGACAGAGTTTCGCTCTTGTGTCCCAGGCTGGAGTGAGTGCAGTGGCATGATCTCGGCTCATTGCAACCTCCACCTCCCAGATTCAAGTGATTCTCCTGCCTCAACCTCCGGAGTAACTGGGATTACAGTCCCAAGCCACCATGCCTGGCTAATTTTTGTATTTTTAGTAGAGATGGGGTTTCGCCATGTTGGCCATGCTGGTCTCAAACTCTTGACCTCAGGGATCCACCTGCCTCAGCCTCCCAAAGTGCTGGGATTACAGGAGTGCCCAGCACCGCACACAGCCTAATTCACCTACTTAAAGTGTATTATTCAATGGCATTATATTATCATGTACTAAAAAATACACTTACAGAGTCATGCAGCCATCACCACAAGAAAATTTAGAGCATTTTTCAGCACTCCAAAATAAACCCAGTACCTGTCAGCAGTCACTCCCCATTTCCACTCACTCCCCCAAGCCCTTGGCAACCACTCACTACCTTGTGTCCGTTCACCTATTCAGGAAATTTCATGCAAATGCATGTAATATATGGTCTTCTGTGTCTGGTTTCTTGTACTTGGCATAATGTCTTGAGATTCAACCATGTTGTAGCATATATCAGCACTTCATTCCTTTTTATTGCTGAATAATATTCCATTGTGTGGATATTACATGTTCTTTTAATCTATTCATCAGTTGATGGGACATTTGGATTCTTTCCAGTTTTTGGCTTCATGAATATGCTGTGTGCATTACTTTTCCATTTCACAAATTTGAAGAGTGAAAATATAGTTTAGGTCATTTAATGATGCCTACTTTTTTTTTTTTTTTTTTTTTTTTAAGACAGAACTTCACTCCATTGCCCAGGTTGGAGTGCAGTGGCACAATCTTGGCTCCTGCATTCAAGCGCTTCTCCTGCCTCAGCCTCCTGAGTAGCTGGGACTACAGGCGCATGCCACCATGCCCAGCTCATCTTTAGTAGAAATGGGGTTTTGTCACGTTGCCCAGGCTTGTCTCGAACTCCTGGCTTCAAGTGATCTGGCTACTTTGGTCTCCCAAAGTGCTGGGATTATACCTCACCCGGCCAAATCATGCCTGCTTTTAAAACCCCTCATTACCGCTCATATTTGAGATTTAGTGGTCCCAGATAGCACCAACAGTACTTCGGGGAAGTGGAGAAGAGTAGAATGTGACCCTGCACAAATTAAATATTTAAAACTGGCTTACAAAAGATAACAACCATGGGAGCTGTCACTTCTCCCTCACCCTCTCACACTTACCCTTGATTTTGTGTGTGTGTGTTTGTCTGTTTTTGTGAGACGGAGTCTCACTCTGTCGCCAGGCTGGAGTGCAGTGGCGCGATCTCGGCTCACTGCAACCTCCGCCTCCCAGGTTCAAGCAATTCCCCTGCCTCAGCCTCCCAAGTAGCTGGGATAACAGGTGCCCACCACCATGCCCGGCTAATTTTTGTGTTCTTAGTAGAGACAGAGTTTCACCATGTTGGCCAGGATGGTCTCGATCTCTTGACCTCGTGATCCTCCTGCCTGGCTCTCCCAAAGTGCTGGGATTACAGGCATGAGCCCCCACGCCCAGCCTTACCCTTGTTTTAGAAATAAAAATAGAAAATATTTAGAGAGCTATCTATGTAGAAATAGAGAAAAGGAAAAAAACTTTATTAAAAAAAAAAAAAAAAAAGCTTTCCTCATCAGTGGTTTTCCTACACGTTTGCCCCTCTGCCTCCATGATGTCTTCCTTCCATGCTAGCTAAATTTTTTTGTCAGACCAGTCAACCGTGTATATTTTTGAACGTTGCTAAATTTCACCACTAGAGAGAATTTGATTAATAAACATCCAGTTTTCAAAAGTCTTAAGTTTATGACTGAATGATCTGTCAGTCATTTTCTTAATCAGGGTATATAGATTTAATCAGATTCATTTAATCCTAAAACCAGGAGGCAATCACCTACCATTAAGACAATGACATTTTTGGGCCAGGCGGCTCACTCCTGTAATCCCAGCACTTTGGGAGGCCAAGATGGGTGGATCACAAGGTGGGGAGTTTGAGACCAGCCTGGCCAATATGGTGAAAACCTGTCTCTACTAAAAATACAAAAATTAGTCAGGAGTAGTGGTACACACCTGTAATCCCAGCTACTCAGGAGGCTGAGGCAGGAGAATCGCTTGAACCCAGGAGGCGGAGGTTGCAGTGAGCCAAGATCTCGCCACTGCACTACAGCCTGGGCTACAGAGTGAGACTCTGTCTCAAAAAAAAAAAAAAAAAAAAAACCCTATACATGTTCAAAAAATACATATGTTCAAGACCTCACCAATAGTGATTTCATTCAGTAGGTCTAATAGTAGTAATAATTCTGTCGGTAGCTCTAGGGTAGAAACTAGGGAGCTAGATTTTTGTTTTAAAGTTTCACAGGTTAATCTCCCCAGCCAGTGTTTGAAACATTGCTGGAGACAAAAGGAAATCATTAGTTGTTTGAACAGAGATAATATTTACAACATAGCCCTTTGGGAAGATGAACTGAACAGGAATGGGCAGGTTGAATTTTGGAGGACAGATGGCTTGAACCCAGTTCAAGACCAGCCTGGGCAACATAGTGAGACTCTGTCTCTGAAAAATAAAGAAACTTTAAAAAGATCTGAGGAACCACACCTGATTCCCATCTTATCTGTGCAGCAGGTGTAGCAGTGGCCAGGCTGCTTGGGCCAAAATGCTGGTAGACTGGGAAGCTCATGACCTTAGTCTATTTGCTACAAGTATTTTATTTCAAAGTTATTTCTGGCCAGGCGCAGTGGCTCACACCTGTAATCCCAGCACTTTGGGAGGCAGGCGGGTGGATTGCCTGAGGTCAGTAGTTCGACCTGGCTGACATGGCCAACATGACCAACCCGGCCAACATGGTGAAACCTCGTCTCTACTAAAAATAGCCGGGCATGGTGGCGCGAGCCTGTAATCCCAGCTACTCTGGAGACTGAGGCAGGAGAATCACTTGAACCCAGCAGGTGGAGGTTGCAGTGAGCTGAGATCACGCCACTGCACTCCAGCCTGGGGTGACAGTCAGATTCTGTCTAAAAAAAAAAAGAAGTGTTATTTTTTAGTAAAATAGTTCAATCTGCTTTTTCTTTTCTCTGTTCTCTGAACAGTGCAGATTGCAGGTTATGTTTACTACCTCCACCGTGTCCAGCCCTTCAGATGTTTGAAGATGACTCCTAGATTCCAGTCCCCCACCAGTTCAAATTAGTCATTTGGTGATTAGTCACATTACCTTAATGACTCATTGAGCTAAAACTATGAGTTAAAACCATTATCTAAAGCTTTTTAGAGAGGTAAAAGGCAGACATCTTACCGATTCAATGAGACTCCCAGCATTCTGGGCTCAACACATGGAGGCTTAGACGCTCGTGGTGGGAGTAGAAAGGAAGGGACCGTTATAAGCAATGTCAGGATGCAAATGTTTTTAAAATCACCTTGGTGTCATACTGGATGTGCTGCTGTAGGAGTTAGGAAACAGTAAAAACACAGCTGAGGGTGAGTGTAAGTTTTGAGATGAGGAGAGTAGTTGATAAAAGTACGGGGAGGCACCACTGGTTGCTAGGGCAGTGCTCTGCCTGCTACTCTAAGAAGGTTTCAGGTAAAACTTGCTTGTGGCTGGCTCTGATTGGCTGAATGTTTTGATGAGGCCCTGCCTGGCTAAAACCAGTAGTGATCAGCCCATAATCGTTTCCAGGGAAGCTTTGCTAATCACATTTCATAATCTCTATTTTAATATCCATATGTTTGAGTTTGTTGGCTTTGTGTTTTAGCTGAAACTGTTTTTGAAGTACGTTTTACAGAAATCAGCTCAGCTCTTCATTCTCACTAATGACACTTCCTTGCCTTTTGAATGTTGACAGCATTCTTCTTAAAATAGAAAAGAAAGGAGATTTTACCCGTCCTTGGTGATTTTAACTTACTAGGGACCATTTGGAATTAGTAAGCCTTTCTACTCACTCCCAAACATCATCTTGATCTCCTCACTTTTGTAACAGAAGAACCCAGGTTCCAAAACGAACAGGAGGACTCAAGCTGTTTGCCCAGAACCTCACATTTAAATGACTCTTCTGAAATGCATCCCTCAACACAGAGTAAGTTGATAAGAAAATTATTCTGCCATTTTAAATTTAACAATATTTAAGCAAAATTGTGGTGTAAACTATGTTTATAGCATGTGGATGCCATTTTCCCAGGGCACTGATAATCAAAATCCTAAAAGGGAGGCAGCAAGATTCTCTCATATTTCCCAGTGGGAAAACTGGGTGCAGACCAAATTCCAAGTAAAGAAAATGTGCTGAATCCACTACAGCCACTCCATTTCTTGAGCACCAGCACTGCTGCCCAAAAACGTAGCTGGAGGTTCTAACAGAAGTCTCTAACTAGATTGATAATATGAGATTCATAACTACTTTGACATCCTTGTGAAAAAAATCTCAGCGTTGTTTTTCAAAGCTATTGCATAGTTGAATTTTCTTGACTCTGTTCATCTGGGCTGGGCTCCCTCCAGCAACCATTGAAAACATGCGTCTGCCCTGGGCACTCCGATGGAATTCTGGGCCCTACCAGCAGTAGAACTGCCAAAGGCAAATGGCTTCATGCTGAGTTTTGATCCCTGGACGTGGTTCATTGGAAGGTTTTGGGTTTTTTAGAAGGGACAGGGTAGAAACATCTTACAGAAATGTAGTCACAGTATTAGGCCATCCATAAAGAAGCTAACAATCTTCCTAGTAAAGTGTATTATTTATTCTTAAAAGGGAGGAGGAGACAAGACACTCTGTTAAACTTCCTTTCAACTAATTTTTTTCAATAAAATTGCCATATAGATGAAGCAGAATTCAACAAGATCTTCTGAGTTCTTTTGGAAGAACAAACTTTTATACAATGTCCCAAAAAGAAGAGCTTCATAAGAAAACCTCATGCCAAGTCAGGAGATTCCAGTATTGTGTAAAATATTTTTGCTAACTCATATTTTTATATGCATCTATAAATTCTGTACCAGAATATGAATTAAACCAAAAATCATTCAAGAGTCAGATGAAGTATGAGAGATTCTCAGCTATTCTCTATTCTGCCATATCAAAACTTAAATTTTTAACTAGATAATTCTAAATTTTAAAATGGTTATTTGGTAACCTTAGGTTATTTGGCAGCAAAATACAAAAGCATAAAAGCTGGATTTCTTTGGGAAGAAAAACAGTTTTTCAGAAATTGAAGCTGACTGACTGTTTGAATGTGTAACTAAATTTCAGAGAAGCGTATTTTTAAGGGCTTTTTTTAAAAAAAAAAAAATCCAATGCTCACTAGCCCCTCTAAATCAGTAACACTCATACTTGGACATATTGTAGTATTTTAATCTTGATTCTGAACCTTCCTGGTATTAGCCAGTATTAAAAATCATTTGATTTATTTATTTGTATTTACTTATTGGAAAGGTAGTCATGGTATATATTTCACAGTATTATGACTTGGAGTGCCTTTTCTCATTACCATTAAGCATCATTGTGAGGAAGCTTACCATTGCAAAATCTCAAATTCTCTCCTAGACCAGCTTTGTTTCTAACTTAAGATTGTTTATATCCCAAGTATTTCAAAGCAGAGAAGTTCTCTGTTAGCATTCATTCAGTCCAACAAATAATTATTTGGCTTGTAAATGGAACCACCTAGGGCCAGGTAATACGTAAAATTTAGGTTTTAGAATTGCATTTCATTATTTATTTTTACAGCACATTTATCTTTAAAAGAAATGCTGTATCATTGCTAACATCAGAAAACTCAGCTTTTCTAAATTTTAAATTTCATTTTCAAGTTTCTTTAAATAGAAGAGCAGTAGAATGGGACACCACGGAACAGAATCTTATCCAGAAAGTGAGGAATCTGCGTCAGAGACTCACTGCCCAGGCTCGTCACAGATGTCAAACCCCTCATCTTTTGGCTGCATAGAAGCCACGTCAGCTTGAGACAGTCGAGAGAGAGATCTATTTTGCAATCAGTGATACTGATTTTTAGATTATTTATTTAAAATTCCTATAAAGATCGGCCCTTTGTATAGAAAAATGTGTCTGTAAAAATTATGTGTTATTTAATTCTGATACTTTTCGGCTTGTAAATGGCTTATTGTACTTTTTACAATAAAAATGTTTTAGAAACGGTTAAAGCTGTGTTAAGCTTTCAGGTTGCAGGGACCGGCATAAACATCAGTAACTTTAGTTGATAAAGGTTTATCTTAAAGATGAACGGAGAAATAAAGAACAGGAAATGATCTCAACAGCTCTATAGCCTGGACTGAGAGAGAATTCAGCAGCAGGTGGAGAGTACCAGCAGCGTGGAGTGGTCTCCATCACCACCTTCCTGCCACCCCTGCCTCTGCCAGCGGGACCTCCTCTTTGTCAGGGATCCCACCGGACTCGCAACATCTCATCTCTGGCCCAGCTCCTTCTGCCCTCTGCCTACTTCTTCTGGCAGCACCGACTGCTCTTCCTCCGTCCCTCCTCTTCCTGGCTCCACAGTGGGGCTGCTTGTGACCTCCCGAACCTTACTCTCTGAAAGGAGGGTAGAAATACTTGATATGGCCGGGCGCGGTGGCTCAAGCCTGTAATCCCAGCACTTTGGGAGGCCGAGACGGGCAGATCACGAGGTTAGGAGGTCGAGACCATCCTGGCTAACACAGTGAAACCCCGTCTCTACTAAAAAATACAAAAAACTAGCCGGACGAGGTGGCGGGCGTCTGTAGTCCCAGCTACTCGGGAGGCTGAGGCAGGAGAATGGCGTAAACCCGGGAGGCGGAGCTTGCAGTGAGCTGAGATCCGGCCACTGCACTCCAGCCTGGGCGACAGAGCGAGACTCCGTCTCAAAAAAAAAAAAAAATTACTTCATATGAGGATTAAGTAAAATCAGCCAGGCCGGACGTGGTGGCTCACAACTGTAATCCCAGTGCTTTGGGAGACTGAGGCAGGTGGATCACTTGAGGTCAGGAGTCCGAGACCAGCCTGGCCAACATGGCGAAACTCTTTCTCTACTAAAATTACAAAAATTGGCCGAGTGTGGTGGCACACACCTGTAATCCCAGCTACTCGGAAGGCTGAGGCAGGAGAATCGCTTGAACCCAGGAGGCAGAGGTTGCAGTGAGCCAAGATCACGCCACCGCACTCCAGTCTGGGCAACAGAGTGAGACTCCATCTGAAAAAAAAAAAAAAAAAAGAGATCAGGCCTAAAAAGTTCCTGGCCCAGTGCTTGACACATAGTAAGTGTACAATATGTAGTAGTAATTATTTTTTCCGGTACCACGAAGCATAATCTTATGGTTAATCAAATATTTTCAGCAAAGTGCTCTCTTTTGCCCAATAAGCAAAGTTCTAAAATGATACCTTGGCGTTACACAGAGCATTGGTTTCCCAAGAGTATCTTCCTCAGCCTAGTTTTCTGTACATTGTTAGGTGGCTGCAAACATATGCCTGCATGGACCAAGCTGGTGTGACAACAGGAATCCCAGGATATAGACTACGTAGAGTGTGATGGAAACTTTGGTAGACTAGAATTGCTTGCTCACCGGAAAGCATCGAAATTCTCAAATTCTGTGATTCTGCCACCCAGAAACAAGCTGTCTATTGCAGTTTTTTACCTCTATTTCAGGTCCTCTTTTACTAGGATAAAAACCCTCTTTTTTATATCTAGAACCGCAGTAGTTAATTTTTGAAAAAAGTTCCTGTTCATCCAGTGAAAGTGCACTATGAATGCCCTCACCCAAATGAAGTTTTTATCACATGCTTCCAGTTTTCTCTGAGCCTACATTTCTCCGATAATCTTGATAAAATCACTGCCTTAGCAGATTTCAGATACTTGGTTGAAGCGCCTCAGTCATATGTGCTTGGTTGGTATTGCAAAGGTTATCACATTTAATGAAATATATAAAATACATTTCTGATTATTTCTTCCTGCTTCTTGACATTATATCTTCAATCTTCAATTTCTTTATAGTGTGAATTCTCTGGAATTGAATAAGGACTGAACTCGGCTAAAATTCTTGGCTACATTTAAAAAGTTTCTCTCCATTACTCCGTTGAGTTTGTTAAAGAAGAGCGGTCTTTATATTTATTATATCCATAAAGTTTCTCTCTGGTGTGAATTCTGCAATGTTGGCTAAATGTTGGGCTTCAGCTAAATCCCTCTCCACATTTGGCTACTTTTGGAAAGTTTTTTTCCAATATGAATTCAGTGGTGCTAATTAAGTTATGAAGTTGGTTAGGGGCCTTTTCGAATTTATTTACATTCGTAGAGTTTTTCTCTAGTATGAATTCTCCCAGGTTGAGCAAGATCTCAGCATTTGCTAAAGGTCTTTCCACAGCCATTGCATGTGGGGCGTTATAGCAGTTGACTACAAGGACTGCATAAGGCTTAATTTATTAATATGGGTGTGCTTATCCGAGAGTCTGGATTTAATGTTTAATCTCATTGTGTCAGCCTGGGTCCAGTCAGGAAGCAAACCAGACAGTTGTTTGGATGAGGAAAGTTTAATGTAAAGACTTATTAAACTGTGATGGGGAGCAACTATGAAGATGTAAAGAGAACTCTACAGGGTACGTAGGACTGAGGAGAGCACTCAAGGAAGGACAGACTTGGAAGGGAGGCTCCTTCCTCCCCCAGGCTTAGGTTCAGACCTGGTCAAAGAAGGTGTGGTTGCGGACCACTGGATATTGGGGAGGGTCTCAGACTTAGCCAGGCCAGGGGTAGTCCATGTCCCCAGGCAGCAGGAAACAACTCTCCTGGGCACAGACAATCCGAGGCTGGTAAAAATGCACAGGGAGGCAGGGCATAAGGACCCCGCTTGTCAGGGTGGTGTGCAGGCTGGCCATATCCAGAGGGCCACAAGAAACCACCCTCAGGCACAGGCAAACAGGCCAGCAGGCAGGTACTCAGAGTGCGTCAGGGTGGCACTGCTGGCATGAGGCCTGGAACATGCCAGTGTCCAGACCGGGAAGACTATAGTGACGTGGTCATTGGGCCAGGACTGTGAAGTGATAAAGCAATTGTGCACACTAGGCACACGGGGCAGAGCACGACTAGATGTCCCCCACGCACACGCACCGCTGGTGGGCCATGAAGCAAGAGTAAGCCAAACAGAACATTGGAGCAAGGAAGAGAAGCCCTGTTTCTCCTGCAGTGTCCCTCAGCACCCTCTATTGACAGCTCAGCATCATGCGCATTGTAAGGAGAAATGCCTCAAGAGCCCAGCCCATCGCTGCAGACCTGAGATGATTGATAACTGCCACGCTCATGCCATTGAAAGTGGCTCCACAGTTTACTGGGTTGGTTAACAGGAGTGTGGACTCAATCTTGGCCTCTATCTAATGAGACAGATGCCAGAATTTCCCTGGCATGATGTGGATGCAGATATCCAAAGGCTCAGGGATACCTGAGGAATGTAGGGGTGGCTTGATCACATCTGGCCTCCTCACTCACCTCCCAATGCCATGCTCTGGGTCCAAAAGCAACTTCCTTTATGAAGGCACTGAGCAAGGGAGCACCTATAAACCTGAAAAGCTCTGTGGTGGCTCATGCAACAAGACGTGACGGGGAGAGATCCCACCACCATGGATGTGCTCCCTGGTTTCAGTGGGGATAATAGAGGCAGCAGAGACCAGGTAGCAGCATTTAATTACCAGACAACCATTTACAGTAAAGGGCAGCAGGGCGGTAGTAGTATTAAAGGATTTTTGGCTACTGATAATTGACTACACTGTCCGTAAGAATGAAATAGATAGGTAGCCTACTAAAATGTTGCTTGAGATATGTAACAGGAAAAACTCCAGACCTGGTAGCCAAAAAACTGACTCGAGTCATCACCATGGAGCGTCATACCTGTCACCCAGTTTCCAGTATGAAAATGATTCCCAGATCCAAAGCCTCTTGATTGAAGGGGAGGCCAGGTCTCCCTGAGGAAGGACCCTGAAGCAGTGCCACATATATGTGCTTATGAGTATTCTTTGACCCTTTCCCAAAGAAACCTCTTGCCATTTACTTGAAGGGTTGTGTACTAGGGAAAAGAAAACACCCATATCTCCCAGGGATTACTGAACATGGGTTCTGAATTGACACTAATTACTGTGGCCTACCAGTGAAAGTCAGGACTAATGGTGGTCAGTTGATCAAAGGAGTCTTGAGCAAAGTTTGAATTACAGAGGGTGAATAGGGCCATGAAACCAACCTGTGGTTATTTTCTGAGTACCCGAATATATCACCGAAATAAACATACATGAAAAATGGCAGAATCTCCCCGTTGGCACTAAGACCCATTGAGTAAGAGCTATTATCCTAGAAAGATTCAAGTGAAAGCCCCTGGAATGTCCTTGCCAGGATAGTAAACCTGGCTAGTAAAAAGTTATCACAATTATCCCCAGGGGCTGGGTGCGGTGGCTCACACCTGTAATCCCAGCACTTTGGGAGGCCGAGGTGGGCGGATCACCTGAGGTCAGGAGTTCGAGACCAGCCCGGCCAAAGTGGTGAAACTCTGTCTCTACTAAAAATACAAAAATTAGCCCAGTGTGGTGGCACCTGCCTGTAATCCCAGCTACTAGGGAGGTTAAGGCAGGACGATTGACTGAACCTGGGAGGCAGAGGTTGCAGTGAGCCAAGACCATGCCACTGCAGTCCAACCTGGGCAACAGAGCGAGACCCTGTCTCAAAAAAACAAACAAACAAAAAAATCCCCAAGGAAACTGACGAGAATCATGCCACCAGCAAAGAGTTGAAAGATGAAGGGCTAGTTATAGCTATTCCATCGTAATTTAATTCGCTATTTGACCTGGGCAGAAGGGAGATGAATCTTTGAGAATGGCTGGGTTAGCAAGAACGTAGTAGGTGAGGACCGCAGTTGCAGCGTCTGTTTCAGATGCAATCTTGACACAGTTCCCGGCATATGGCATATCCCAGCGCCTGCATGACCTCCCTGAGACCCCTCTCCCCAGACCCTATCATGACCTGCCATTTCCAGATAGGTTCGGTGCCCACCGCTGGCCTCTCATCCACGCTGCTTACCCATCCCGCAACCCCCTCGCCGCCCCACACAGTGTTCCCAGTCACTCCTCTATTGCCTCCATTAGACGGCCTTGAACCCCGCCGCGCTCGCAGCGCGGTCCTGGACTGTGACCACCCGGACTC